CGGACCCACAGTAATGGATGCCGACCGCGAACGAATCTCCTGCGCATACTCTTGCAGGGGTAGCGTCGCCTGTCGTGCTCTAAAGAGCGCGCCTGAAAAAGTACTTCATTGTTAGGCGGCTGATACGTAACGCGAACTTTGTCTTGACTAATCGCTCATGATGAGAAATTATCGGCATTTAGCACAAGCGCAGAGTAATACTACTACCATGCAAATGAGACATGGCGTACGACATCATTCGAGTGTCGTACTCGATGAGCTTCGCCACATCACATTGCTCCACGACTAACAGCCAGTGGACAATCGTATGTGGGGCAGTCCCATCAAACTTAGAAGGGTCCATTTGAATGGGATTTGGCTGATTAGACCGGGCAGAAATTTATTGAACAGTCCTATTGAGAGCCTTGATCTAATCCTTCTCACGCAAAAGCTCACACTTATTGATGGGCTAAGTCGCAGCATGAAAATGTGCCTCGGTTGCTGCCATCCGCCTCTGTAGGAGCACAAAGGCCTCGAACTGCTCCAACTAAGCAACATGTTGCTAAAGGGGACTACCCAAGAGATTAACTAGGGCTTTTCTGCCAAGTCCCTGAGCCAAATGATCAGCCATTTCCCGATGATGAGGGAAAGGTGGGGGAAGGTCCCACTATACATTGAAGCTTATCCTCACTCACACGCACGCTCAGAGAAGCGGGTCGTGGGAAGGATTACGAGTGCTAAAAATTGTAAACGGTCGCTTTACTAGCTGCGACGTACTACACGCACACACCTTCTTGCACAAACGAGAAAGCGGTTAGACCGTTTTCTCTTACATTAGGCAATGTAGTTGGTGAGCACCAAGGCGACATCACTCACAAACATAGGTAATCCTCACTAGTTGTGTCACGGAGGATGCTTCTAGTCTTCCTGCGCACAACTGTAATATTAGAGACGATGTCATTACCGACATCCAGTGAGTCGCTATTACAGCCATCACTCAGTGAAATTTTACGTGCCACTACACATTCATCACTTGGGTTCGGCCCTTAATGACCCTTTCACAATCTCTTGAGCTAGAGCTCTTGGGAGCTCGTACAGATAAGTACACTCACACTATGCATTTGCTTACGTATTGGCTCTTTTTTTTGCTTAAGACGACTTGTTTGGCATTTTACCTTTTTTATACTGAATACTCAGCTCATTCATGCAGTGGCAGCTACTTTTTCAACTGCTTGTTCTCTCACGTCCTGTTCCCAACATGCGATATTGAATGTATGTGTGTTGTCTCGTCCCTTAGATGGTAGAACATGGAGACGTCGTTTACTGTGTAGTCCCAGGGTCAACGGTCTTTAATGTTCTTAACTGCTTCAGCTTGTTCATATTGCTTTAACATGGTCCTAACGGCTTCAAATGGTTTCCAACTGCGTCACATCAGAAGCATATTACAACACGCCCCCTCCGACGTATGCGTCATAACACCTCGGCGGGAAGCTTGCATACCAATTATCGCTCGATAACGATAGATGCTCGTCTTCGGTAGTTCCTCTGTGAACATGTCGGCAGGATTATCGCTCTCGGGAAACCCACGCACCATCCGAAGTCTCTTCTTGATCTGGTCGCGTACATAATTCCATCGCAGTTCAATATGGCGTGTCTTGTTGCTATGCTTCATCTGGCAAGCCATGGCAAGTGCCGCGGAATTATCAACGCGCAGAGTCAACAAGTCTTTGCACTTTAGCATCTCATTTAGCATGTAACAATCCCTTGGCCCTCCATTGAAGCTTCGCATGCCGAAAAGTATTCAGCCTCGGCGTTCGATCGTGCAACATATATTGATACCGAGCCGTCCAGGCAATTGCTCCACCTTCCAAGCTAAAACGAATCCTTTACCACTTTTCGTGAGTCTGGGTCATTTACCCAATCGGCATCGCAAAACTCTTTGATCACGGTATGGTTTTAACATTACAGAGTATGTTTGTACGTGACGCCAGTGTGGTGGGGTGGAGTCTTAAAATTGTATGATAAGACTCCAAACCACTTACTGTGCCGGACTGCCGACTGTCGGAGGGGATACCCCAATGCCGCGTATGGACCGTATAGACTTTCTCTACCCGTAGGCGGGCAATTTGCACTCTTCGAAAGACTGGTGAGCATTCAGATGTCTTCCTTGAAAGAGGAAGACCTGGGGAGCCTCGAGTGGATATGCTTCACTCGGTGGGCTGGCTGGTGGCCACTCGGTCGACTTAGTCGAGAGTAGGCTTAGATCTAAACCAAGACGTTTCACGTCTCGATTAATTCCTGGTACCTTGTTACCTCAGGACACATGTAACTTATTCCCTTAGTGATTATTTCCTTGGAACGTATTTTCTCAGGCTCGATGGGACATATTCTCTCGGCTTACTCTTAAGCTGTGGCTGCGCAACCAAAGCGAAATCCTCTACGTTTAACTCTCCAGTTGATCTAGGACTACCGTGTTGCCGCTTCTGGGCAACCGGTTTGCTCTTCTGTGAATGTTGCCCTCTAGGCAAGCATTCATGTCCCGGTCCACTCGACTTATTCGAGCGGTGGACCTTCGGCGCTGCCTGTGCTTCTACACAGCCGCCGCCGGCTTTGCTCCACAGTGTGTCTGCTTGCCACAAATTTTTTTTGTGCAGTCGTATTAACGACCGTACCGGGTAGTAAGCATGCGCTCGATAAAAATAATAATATGTGGTGATAGAACTCTGTTTGTTGGGCGGTAGCTTGGGTAGAAGGGTCTATATAGACAAACATAGTGGGTTTGGGTGGCCCCCATACCCCATGCCGTCATGGGTAGGCGAAGCCCGCCCTCCTTAAGTACGGGTACCCATGGGTATGCTCGTAGAACGCGATGCAGGACTCTGCTTTATAGTGACCGAGCTACAAAATCAAAGCGTGACCAGCCATTCATAGTGAGATTTGAAGACTTTAGAGTTTGACCTCACCTCATGGGTATAAGCTTATTCCTGTTTAATAAAAGGAAACCGCTATGACCACAGACATTTATACTAAGGCCATAGACATTTAACTTTGCCAATCACAGCTCAGTAAGTCCATTGACTCCAGACAATCAAATCACTTATTTACTTGTACACAACAGCTTCTGCTTCTTATGCGTGCGCGTCCTAGTAGGTAAAAACTAACAGCGCATTCTATCCAGTCTAACACATCTTGATGATATTTCTGGCGGCATTTAAAGACTCTGCTGGTACGCGGATGAGCGCCTCGAGTCCAATTCATTAGCGTAACGTACAAGAATGTCATATCTCGCGGTACTAGTACCTTTAATAATTGCGAGTTAAAGCTAGCAAGCAGCGGTAACAAGCTAATTATGCTCTAGCGTGATAATTCTTCTTCTTTCTGACCTTCCATGTTTTATCTTTGCATGGTATAGGAAATACTCTTTAGGATCTGGATGTTGGAACGGTGGTTGCTGCTGATGAGGATTCTCGACAGGATGGCGTTCAACTGCTGCGAGACGCTGGGAGTGATTGTAAAGGACCAGGTGTTGTCCGTAAAGGAGGAGGAGATTGTTAATGTGAAAGCATGGAATTTCTCGGTATACATATATAACCTAGTGCGTAGCTTTACCTTTTATTTCTCGTCCAGCACTCTAAGAGGACAGTCAATAAGTCACTGTCCTTCCCCTTTAAACCCTTTTCCATGACGGTTTCGATGTACGTGGAGGCGAAATGACGGTTTCGATCTACGCCTCCACGATCGCATTTGTAGTAGAAAAAACTAATTGGCCATCTCGTTGCTTGTATGAAGACTTGGTGACGTATTCATAGCCAATTGCGGCGGCTTCCATATTCATATGTTCTTGCATTATCTTCCGCGTAAATAAATTGCTTATATTGCTGCTTTATGTTCATGTTTGCTGTAAGTGCTGAAATGTACAAATAAGCGATGAGCCCAGTGGAACATGTATTACACCAGCGAGATTCTAATCTCGATCAATGGTTATCATTATTATCCTGACAACAATCGATTTGCTTGAGTTGTGATTGGCTGCAATGATTGCTAGTAGTTTTGTCTGTTACCGTAGTATTAATGTCTGTGGCCGTAGTATTAATATCTGTGGCCGTAGTATAAATGTCTGTGGCCGTAGTATTAATATCTGTAGCCGTAGTATTAATATCTGTGGCCGTAATATTAATGTCTGTGACCGTAGTATTAATATCTGTGGCCGTAGTATTAATATCTGTAGCCGTAGTATTAATGTCTGTGGCCGAAGTATTAATATCTGTGGCCGTAGTATTAGCGTACGTCTGTGGCCTTAGCAGCTCCCTTAATCAAATGATCCGTTGTCAAGACGTATGCAAAGGGACCAAATTACGTCTGGCGTCAGTCAGTCGTGCGGATGTAGTATTGCAAACGGGAATCTTTGTGGGTGAGTCAAATTTTGTTACTAGACTATTATGTCACTTCATAAACACAAAGCTATGATAACGAAAAAAACATGGCCGTCGCAAACGCGAAACTGCAAGCGCGGTATTGAGAACGAGACTTTAACGCAGCCATCAAATTTTTGTCGAATTGCACAAGATAAAAGGATACGACTGGCATGTCTTAGAAAAACATCGATAGAAACAAAACGTGAGCCGAGAAAGTGTCTATATAGGTTAGACAGAGCAGGATAGATGGAACAATAACTGCTTTGTGATAGTCAGACATGAACCACGTTGCCGGTACCCAAGCATGTTTACGGCATGATCAGAGCTTACGACATGTATTCCGCTCTTAAATGACCTCGTTTGTTGTGTTTCAATCTACACGAATCTGCGAATGGCATCTATATTAACGAAGCTGCACGCAGAAGTCGAGCGCGTCTCTCTCTCTCTTTTGATTCCATCGCTGCTGCTGCTTGCCACTATCTTCTTTTATGTTTTTTCTCCTCTCTTGCCCTTTGTTATTCTCTGTGTCTGGTTGAATGACGTCAGTTGCTGGTGGGTCCGAGTCAGTGAGCTACGTCGATGTCGTCAGCTTGCACGTAGATGCACTTAGGCCAAGGATGGTTTGCATTTCTGCTTGTGGGAGGTCTTCCAGTCCTGCTTCTGGCACTCGGCGTCACAGTATCGCACTGTCTTGCAGCGCGAGCACACGAGCTCAGACGGCTCCTTGCACACTTGGCAGCGCAGCCCCGCTTGGCGCTTCTCAATCAGCTCCTGTTGGAAGCTACAACAATACAGTACAACATCAGTATCCAGTTACAGCAATAACAAGACTTTCAATAGAAAAGCCGTACCCAAGCTTCTTCATGTCTCGCCAGGTCTCCATGGGCTCGGCGCTAGATTGCGTATGGTACATGTCTTTAAAGCCCTTAAGCGTCAGCCCCTTCTTCTCGTCACACTGGAAGTAGGTCTGGATCTCTTTGATCTCCGCATCCTGGAAGGGCTTGCCATTATTACAGATCTTGCTGAATGACCGGAGTTTGTCCAGCGTCAGACTCGTGTCCGTGGGCTTGTCCAAGTACGAAATGAACAGACGCGTGAGCACAGTCTCAAAGTCACGGGTAAGGTTGCCGTCGTTGCCGATGAGCAGCGAGCGCACTTCGTTTTCCGACAAACCACAGTCATCGTGATAGTGCTGGTTTTTCTTAGTAGGGGCCATGTCGTGAGATTGTGTAGGAAGAGGTTTGTTCTTGGCGGAGGGTCGTTTGACCAATTTCAAAATGCTTCAGCCTAAAAAATGACGCGTAACGGATGACTGTACAAGTTGATACCCTGTTCGAACATATTTTTATCCGATTTGAACGATTTGATTGGTCTTACTATTGTAATCAAGTCTCTATTTTTGCGATATCAATTAGCTGAAAGAGGGAATCGTAACAGGTTGCAAAGAAAAGATCTGTTCCGTGTGAGAAACACAAAATGCCGCGTGGCAAATTGCTTGCAGATCGTCACATCGAAACTTGATGTTTCCTGCCGCGCAACGTTGGCTCAACCACAATTGCACTGTCAGCCGATAACGATCTATTTCTGTCGTTTAGGTGCAGCCAATCGTGATTAACTACATTGTTGACTATGAATCACATCCACAACGGCTCTAATTCGTGTCTGCAGCAAGACGGTATCTTTAGTCCATGTAGCAGTTTGTAGCGTATCTATTGATCATCTTATACGATGGCTACACAGCCAGGGTTTGCAACATTTGCTGAGCAGAGATGGTTTGCACAGCAATGATTGATTCCCTTATTGCTTGCTTTACACAGCAAAAGGGCTATCGAGCCAGCATTACAAGCTGTCATGTTCCGTTGAAACGGCATCGGCCACTTTTTTTTCCTGATAGCCAGTGAGACGTTTCATCCGTTTCTTCTCATTGGTCAAAAGCTGCATTTTTCCGTCTTCCAATCACGAAGAAGAAGAGGGAGAGGGACCTCAAAAGCGCATAGCACCCCGCACTGGCGACGCTCTTAAGTGCAGAGCGTCGTCCGTCGTCCTTATCATCAGCTTATATTCACAGCCACAAAGGCTCATGGACGAGGACAAGCGCCAACATCCGCTTTCAGCGCGCTCCAATGGCGTCTACAACAACTTGAACTTGTCAACTCGCTCGCGGCAAATCGTACAGCCCAATAGCAGCACGGGGAGCCGCTTCCTGGCCGTTGAGCGCTCCAGACAGATGGACCTCAGCCAAGTATCGACTCTCAGTGCTAACACTACAGGAATGGACGAGATAAGTCGCGTATCTCGCTACTCGTCAATATCCACTTCCTCTACCGCCTACTCGGCGATGTCTTCGGTCGCCTCGTCCTACGGCGGGGGCGACCGGTGGGTTTCGCAACGCGCTTCTAACTCGTGCAATTTGTGTCGTGAAAAGTTTTCGCTTCTCCGACGTTCGCATCGCTGTCGACGCTGTGGCTACTTGTTCTGTGCCAAGTGCTCTCGATTCAAGGCGGCGTTGACAGGTCATACACACAAGTCGAGACTTTGCGAGACGTGTTTCCCCAAGGTTTTTTCCGGCAGCAAGCCGCCCATGAACGCCTTTGTGCATTCCAAAGCGTGGGTACCTCGCGGCGTATTTGCACACATGCTTGGCTATTTGAACCATGTTGATCTGTGTCTGGCATCGATGACGTGTCGATTCTGGTACAAGAGAGCTCTGCTAGACATTACGTGGCGTCCGTTGTACATCAAAGAGTTTGGAGACGATGAAAGCAGTCCTCAGCGCGAATCGCTGATAGCGTTTCAGCGTGATGTTCATGGCATCGGATATGAAAACTTGCCGTGGTATAACAAGTTTTCTATCCGTTGGACGGCACGGAAAGCTGCGGAGAAGAAGAAGAGCTTCTTGGTAATGTCTAGTTTGCTCGCCTCGCTCAAGCTCAGCAAATATGCAGCTCTATTCGAAGCAGAGGAGATTGACATTGAATCTCTGTGTCTCATGAACGCCGGTCATCTGCGTGACCTTGGCATCCCGTTTGGCCCTCGTATGAAGCTGCTGAATGCCGCCGCGTGTTTAGCGGACTTCAATGAGGACGATGATGATGAGCGGCCATCCATGGAATCCGCGCCTATTACGCCGGTAGCTCGATTCAAGCAGAAGCGTGCCGAGATGAAGCATTTCCGTGCTGGACTTGTCCGCCGTGTACAGCAGTCGGCGGTTCGCATTGCCATCGTGACGAACGAAGGAGAGCTTTGTAATGTAGGCTCCGGCATCATCATTCACGAGGACGGACTCATTGCTACTGCTCGGCATTGCCTTCAGGGAGAGCAGTTTGACTGCATTTACAGCGATGAGTACATGATTTTGGTGGCGCCCACAGAATCTACGTCGCTGCCGCCGTTATGGAAGTATCATGCGCGTGTGATTCCTGAGTGTTGTAATGAGGAGCTCGATTACGCACTGCTGCGCTTAGATTGCGAGGTCATCTCGGACCCGCCCAGCGGACTATACATTGGTGATGTGACGGACCGCATGATCGCACGCAACTGGACCGTTACGAAACTTGAAGGCACTTCTCGAGAAACGATAGGCAAACTACCAGCTGTTAGCATTGGCAATTCAAATAACGTGGAACCAGGTGACGAAATGTGGATGTTTGGTTACCCAAGTAGTGGTCACAATACCATCACCGTGCATCATGCAATCTGCTCTGGAACAGACTCTCAAGTGTACGATGGTGAAGAAGTTGACAAGGCAATGCTCCGCACAGCAGCACAGCTAGACAACGGCTTTAGCGGTGGTGGCGCTGTGGACAAGAAGGGTCTATTAGTGGGTCTGATTTCCTTCAGTGTGTTGCGCCAGGACCGTGTGCGTGCCATCAACATGGTCAAGGGAGCCATTGAATTTGCCAAGCGTAAGCATAACTATTCGTGAGAGATTCGCCCTTCCAGCAGTGAGCTGGAATCCCGTGCTGCAGACGCGTAGCCATCTTATCTTCATTAGGATAAAAGTTAAATGCGAAGACTGCCTGTGTAATGGTCGCAGAGCGTCAGTTGTGTCGTAGAGTTCAAGGTGATTAGTTTGTAAATGAAAACTGAAGCTAGTAAACAGCTGTCACTAAAGCGAGGAAAGTAGGGGGAACTGAGGCCACACTTGCTTTTGCTAAAAAAGTGTCACGGGCGACGTCCATAGACTCTCCTTCCCGTGTGTGTAAGGTATCGCAAGCTTCAGGTGACAAGTAGAACGTCGACCTATTTACAAGATGGAGGAAAAAAGCGCAGAGTTCGTGGGCGTGACGCTCTATCCAGCGGATTACGAGATCGTGGAGATGGTGACGGACCAGGGCAAGGAGATCCTCCAACAGTAAATAACTCAATCAATTTGTTTCTACATGCTGCTCAAATCTGTAAAGCTTACAAACAATTGATTCTCTTCTTGTGATTAGGGAGTTCACAGAGGCGCAGCTGTTCCTGCACTCGATTCAAGAGCTGGAGCGCGTGCGGACGCAAAGGACGAAGAAAAAGCAGAAAAAGGATGACAAGGATGCCCCTACAGCTCAAGAGGAAAATGGGATAAAAGAAGAAGAATATGACGAGCTTACAAAGACTGTTGAAGCTGTTGAGGAGATACACGAGTCCATGGAAGATGCCGATGAGGAGGAGGAAGTGATCGATCCGAGAATTCATTACCGTTCAATGGTGGCGGAACTTCAAGCGGCAGTTGCCGAGCTACATCAGCTCATCAATTCCATTGACTTGATCCGTCGTCGCGATTTTCTTGAAGAAATGCGTTGCATTCGTGAGAATACGGCACCAAAGAGAGAGGAATTGGAACATCTTGTGGAGTCAAAAAGTGCTCAAGTGAAGGAAAGTGGCACAATTCTGCTGAATGGAGTCGAAGCACTGGCTAAGACGGTGGAGAAGGAGAGCGTCTTTTTCCAGGGTATTACACAGATGTTGCGCAAATGGAAAATATGTGCACCTATCCATGGAAACATCCCGAAACCATTTCGTGCGGGTGAACCACTGGCGGTAGACTGCAGCTATGGTAGTGGTAAGAGCGTGTGTGATTTTGATAGGACAACTTAGTTTGTTGCCGGGACTGACTAGGTGTTGTCGTGCTTCAACAGCGGGGTCGTCCTTCGTGCCGCAGAATCGATCGATTGCTGATCTTGCTTATGCTGAGGTATGTCTACAGCAGCAGCAAACCCAGTGGCTTTTTGATACTAAGTGTTGAAACTGTTGTTGTTCATTGCTGTTAGCTGAGCCGCACGGAGAAGGGGCTTGTGCGCGCTAAGACTCCTGAGGACTTTTTGACTCGTACGATCCAGGTGTGTAAACTGTTCTACCGGCCAAAAATGAGGTGTCTATCTCTTACTTACGGTTTAACTTGTTGTACTTATCAGCTGAAGCTTGAAGCAAATGATATCGGAAAGGAGGGGAGCTACACATTACCATCGCCCACTCTGATTCACATGTACGCCAGCCATGCTCATGGCGAGGTTAGTAAATGCGTTATTGACGCAAATTATTGTATTATGGCGACTGTAGGACAAAAGCAGAAATGGATGGGCTTCATGATACACCCGAAGACCTTAAAGTATTGGAAGAGCGCAACATGTCGGTTCTCAAGGCTGTGCAGTTCTCCGTATTTTGCGAAGAACTCTTTTACACGCTGATGAAAGAAGCGCTTCACAATACATCTAAGTGGACCGATACAGCATTCAATATCAGCAGTTACGTTGTCAAGAAGCACGGAAGAGAAGACAATGCCGCGGTAGACACTCCCATTTCAGTTTTGCAAGTGCTGGATGACGAGATTCATCTGCGCGTGAATGAGCGGCATCATCTGACAATCAAACTTGTAGATGTAAAGAGTTTGGCCAAGAAGAAAGATGCGGCAAAGGGGACAGAAGAAGCCTCAGTAGCGGTTTGCGGAAAACAGGGGCAGGAAACAGAGCCTGTTCCAGATATAAAGATGGAAGAGGCTATAGCAGAGGATACGCCATTTCCGACCAACAGTTCAGCCAACCGACGGCGTGCTCCATCTACATCATATTCGACCCCTGCTGACAGTGACGAAGCCTTCTTGACACAGACTTGTCGGTATACACTCCTTCTCTTGCAGCAAGAGATTCGAACCCGTCACGGCCGGAAGGAAATATCGCGGGCATTGTTGTACACAGGCTCAGACGGATCGACGCTTGCTGGAGGTGGTGTGAACGCTGGCATTTCCGGCGCTGCTGCCGGCGGCGCTGCCGGAATGGGTCCTGCCAGCGAAATCGACAAACACGATAACACACCAGGAACCCTGGCAACAGCCTTGGCTGTTTTATCTCATAATCTGCTGAAAAATGAAGTGGCGCAGTACCTGGACGAAGTATCTTCGGTTTTCGCTTTTCAAAAGCTGCAAACATCAGCTTCGGGTCGTGTCCTGGATGATGGCTTGCTGCAGCCAATTTGCGATTCGGTACGTGGTGTTTACGTGAGTCCACGGTGGAAAACGTGTGCGTTCGATTCGACACTTTCAGCGTTTGACTTGAACATTGGCAAGAACTTCTCCACAGAGGTGCTCATTTCTGGAACACGCATTCTTGTTCAGACTGGAATCGCTTCACAACGTGAGGTGTCAGGAGTTGATGGGCTGCGTGAGTTTGTTGAGACGACCGTATGCTCTCAGGTGGCACTAGCACTACACCGCGATGCAGCGTCGTTCGGACTGAAACAGAGCTCAATGAATCTGGACCGCACAAGTGTCCGCCTTGTGGTCACAGGCGAGTGGAACGGCAGTTGCATTGGCGAGGGCCGTGTATCAGATTCAAGATCGGTGGGGTCTATTTTTTTAGAGCCATACATTGCTGATGACGGCAGCCTAGCCATCAATTGCTTGTTGCAAGCTGTTGATGCGAACAAGTTGGCGCCCATACAAGCTACACTTTGCCGCTCTACATCTGGGGAGGTGCACAAGGTAGACTGGAAGCGAATACCTGGCTCAAGCGACGCGGTCAAAATGCTCTGGCTTATGCAGAAGACTGAAGTGCTTTCTGATCCATTTAAGGTGTCTACAAAGTCTAATGTAGCTCAGCTGTCTAATGGCAGTTAATGTTAAGTGCATTCAGATTTACACCCTAATGCGAGAAGGAGGAATGGCAGCAGTCGAAATGTTACGAGAAGAAGTTGGATGCTTTGAATCAACATAATAGCAGTACTTTTTGGTGTACGTATTCAAGTTGAGTCAAGTAAGGAGGCACTTGGTGGTCAAGCTAAAAGGCTTTGCATAATACGATTCAACTACGCATTTTCACCTTGGCGCAGAGCTCGGCGATCTTTTCTTCGATGCGTGACGATATAAATGTCTGCCATGCAAAGGTGTGTTTGTTGTTCTGCCATGTGCACGAGTAAGTGACTCTATAACGGTTATCAGTACCTTTGCCATGGCTGAGAAAGCAACGTGGCATCGGGGTACCCCCTCCGACAGTCGGCAGTCCGGTACAGAGAGCGATTTGGGCCCTCATCACACAGTTTTGAGAGCCCACTCCACCACAGTGGTGCCCGCGCGTGCCCGGATTTTAACGGGGTGAGCCCGTTACATAATATTGACACTTATTATATGAAGTGTCAATAAAATATTATAATAACTAATAATATTTGACAATATTATCATTTCTTATAATATTGTTCCTAGATCTCCTTGAAGTTGGGGATGCCCTCTAATTGGTTGATATGGGCCATCATATCAACCAACGCGCTGACCAATGACCGATGGACGTGCGCAATGAGTGGAGGGCAAGTTATCAACATACATAGTTGTAGTTTAATATAGTTAACATAGGTTATAACATATTAGTTTTATTAGATAGTTAACTATATTAAATACAGTTTTCTTTTCCCTACTTCTAAGCGTGTTGTTTAGAAGTAAAGCTTCCTCTGCCTCTTTGTAAGAGAGGTAATTGAGGCACCTGCTTTCACTTTCATCAGTGAAGGTAGACTATACTGTTATCAGTATAGTCGGAGGGTGCCCCATTACACGGATCTTCAGAAGACGCGGGATTTCACCGCGAGTCCCAAGAAGATAAATATGTTCAAGTCAAGAATTTGCACAAAACCAAAGAGCCACTGGAAGACCGATCGCCAGTTACTAAAGAAGAAAAGGATCGAAGGACCGACCGGGCCTTGGAGGGGCCTGGTATACATGGTCGAGGTCGAAGTAATTAAAAGAAAAACCTACATATCCTCCCTCCTATGTCCTTGTAAAGGACACCTTGGAACATCATATCTATCATGATGCAGCGGACGGTGATAACCGAGAGGTTCCCGAAACAACAAAACACAAAGATCGCACAGTCCTATCCAAAAAGGTTCAGGATGAAGGCGTCAGGTAACGACAGGTCGGTAGGCCCCGAGAAGTCAGGACCGTCAACCTGGTCGGACGCTGATGTAACGAGAGCATACCATCGACGCAAACTTGATGTATTTTGAAGGAGCGACCCCGTCACATAGACCCTAGAGATCCAGCTTCTTGGACAGCTCAGTGGACTGGTGTCGACCTTGCCAATGTCGCCGAAGGTAACAGACGCGATCACCGCCGTATTCACCCTCCTTAAAAAGACAAGCGTGGTCGTGAGAAGGTTTGAGCCATACGACTTTCTTTATCTAGGTTTCGACGGCATCGCGACAACGTTAAAAAAGCTTTATAAACGTTTAGGGAGGCTCGTTGGAATAGTCCCGGCAAAGGTTATATTACCTCCCACGACTAACGTAAAGGAACCGTCGAGAGATAGACAGATGACGCTCCAAGATATCGCGGTCCACTCTCAAACGCAAGAGACGACCGGGAACCCACGGTCGAAGCAAGGTCTACCGCATGAAAATCTGCCGCCATGTACTCAAGTCGTGGCGGGGCTGTCGTCGCAAGATTCATCTTCTACTTGCAATATTCCACCGGGACCGACAGGTGCGGAGCTGCTACCGTCCCGAGCGAGGGGTGCGGAGCAGAAACAGCAAGCTCGCGAGACGGCGACGCGTGGAACACCAATGTAAAGCTGGGCTCCTAATAGGTCGAATCTATATAATAAAAGAATTGTGTCCGTCCGTCCGTAGTGCTCCTTTTCCGGCATTCGGGTTGGCTAATTTAGCATTGGCTGATTTTGCATTTTGCATTTATAACAACCATGATCAAAATTCCATAACATAATGTGAGGACGGGCGTCTCGTAAAGAAGCTGCCACGTACTACACGGACACACCTTCAAGCAGCACGAGGGAGCGGTTATACCGTTTTACCTCTGCGTGCGATGGTGGTGGTGTTGGTCGGTCGCTTGGAGCGCCGAATCAAATTGTTGCCGGCCGCTTAGAGCGGTCCGCGTAACGAAAAACTAAGCAGTACCTCACTTACGTCGCGCAGAAGCTTATTAAGCTCTTCGTGCGCAGTGGGCGATAGTTAGTAAATTGAAGACTGACTAATTTATGATAGCTTTTAACTAAATATAAGTTTAACTTCTGATTGGCTAGTTATGCAAAGATTGGATACGCATCTCTTTAGATGCGTATCCTTACGTGCGAGCTTAAAATATATATATTTAATGTCTGTAATAGGCTACATTACACACATAGCTAACACAAATAAACATTTACATATGTAGACAGGTGCTGGGAAAATTGTTTATTCAATAACTTTTAAAATAATCCTAGCGTAAGGTAAAAGAAAACTAGAGATAAAAGAGAAGTATTTAATGATCATAAAGGAGCAAAGACGAAATGGCAACCCCGAAAGATGGTTTTACGCTGCCCCAAACGAAGTCATATACCTTCGATTGGGGCGGAAGCGCGATCCGGTTGTACGCAAACGATGAAGGGAGAGTTGATGAAGGTGGCCAGGCGCTGGGGAGTGCTTGAAGATCTTGAGAAACTTGACTGGATGACTTTGTAAGAGCCACCTTTATTTCAGAGCGAGTAGCCTTACCCAGCTATCAGCCGAGGCGTAAAGTCTTCGAGTTCGTGAGAATTCGAGTGTCGGCGTCGAAAGATGCTGAGTTTAAATGGAACTTGTTGAAATCCGTTTGTTGCTGAGATGACGTACCCGTCGAAGCGATGATTGGAAAGTAGACGGGGACATGAACGGTTCACCGCGGTGCGGCGGGGGCTCTAACTTGTGAAGCCTGAGTATAAACTGAAGAGAAATGATCTTGTATGGCTGCTGGAACGGCGAACGTCTTTAACCAGACTGGCGGTGATACAGTAATCACATGGTGATACCCCGATGAACGACTTTAGTCGGGGAGAAATGGTAGCACTTTGCGCTCGTGAAGAGTCACATTTGGTAGAGATCCACAACGGAAATCTGCTATCCACCCCAAATATTTATAAAGAATAAAAGATACCGACCGGTGGTTAAACCGTGGTTGTTTCGTAGAGCTGGGTTGAGAGACGATAGAAGAAGTGAAGCCAAATCCATAGTAGAGCAGGCAACGTATGTAGCCGAGCAGATAATGGCAGCAATGGAAGACTTGGTGAATTATGTTGCACCAACTAGAAGTGAGGACGGACCAGGCGAGATGTTCCAATGGCCGCCGTAGTCGGGACCGTAGTATCGGCGAGGTAAGTCAGCGCCGTGATGACATGTGTAGGAGTGCGAGAATCCGTTAAGTTAATTCGCAAAACATCCGAACGAGCTATTGAAAGCAAGTTGATGTCGCTCCAAAGTAGAAAAGGCGTGTGCCGGATACGTTTCGGGCTTGGCAGACCCGGAAGTAAAGCGAAGATCTTGACCGGATCAACGTAAATGCTGGGTGCAAAGATCATCAAAAAGAGATCACTGACGGCACTATGAATCGCCGCAGCCTGTAGATCAGCCGTCGGAAACAGGCTGGTAAAAGTGGCATAAACGTCGTGCGGGTCGACGTCGAGCCGAGTTGACAACCGAGAAGATACATCAGAGCTTTCACCAGTGTGAAGAGGCTCAGCCGAAATTAAACGGTAGATTGCGTGAGACTTGAAGAGACGCGACTGGCGTACCTCTGGTAGCTGAAAAAAACGGCGAAAGTAGCCGGGTTGAACGTGAATAGCTGCCATGATATCAGCATGAGACGTGATCGTGGCGAAGTCGCGTAGCAAATATTCGTCAATAAGTATCTTGCAATTTTTGGACAGAAACATGGTCTGCCTTTAACGGCAATTTCCTCGAATCCATTAGGAACCGAAAAACATTCGCGTGTGGAACCAGGTCAGAGTCAGCTGTAAAGCCGGAAACAGGACTATCAAGATCAGTATCCAAATCTTGTTCTGTCGCTTGGATATCGACGTCAGGGGGTAGAGAACCGTCATACCCATCATCTTGGAGAACGTCGTATGTATCGGGCGAGACGGGAATATTGTAGACGAGCGCATGGGGATCGTCGTCAGAAGTATAGAGCTCACACGGAGCAGGATTATTAGGCTCAATATACTTGGGCCCGGGGCGGTTAATCACTCCATACTGCGAGTGTTAAACCAGCTTCCACGTTGGATCATCGGTCGATACCGATCCCAAGATAAAGGTCTTGTCTATGGGCGAAGAAGTGGAAGCAGGATGGGAAGAAGTCCCATGCGAAGACGAAAACTGGGAAAGGGGCGCTTGCGTGCGCCCAGAATCAGGTTGCGGTGGCGTGCGCACAGTAGCTGATAGTAAAGTGGCCTGGGATGGCGACGCGGTTGCGTGCAAGTCACCCGGCGAGACGTCGCCCTCATCACTCTGCATGTTGGTATCCGAAAACTCGGAAGTTGGGCGCGGGGGCGGTCGAAGAGAAGGAGGCTTGACGCGATTGTATCGACAAAGCCGACGTTGCACAAAGCATGGTTTTTCTTCCTCAAAAAAGAAAATTTTGCGAAGTGGCTCGCCGTTATGTTCAAATAGCTGCACCGGGCAAGAGACGGAATTAAAGTAGATAGTGCGTGCCCGCGACTTCAATTCTCCTTGAGCTTGCGTGGGTGTAATCAAGATGGGTGGAGCACCGCGTGCCACAAACCAATCATAGATCGCCAGGTCGGCCACGTCAGCGGGCAACCGTTGCAAATCCACAAAATACAGCTTATCATAGCTGGAGTATTTGCGAATCGTGACGACTGTGTCACAAATCGAAAGTTGGACTCCATCCAATCGGCGAAGCGCATCATCTGATGTAAAGAAGAATGAAATGCCTTGGTTAAGGATTCGGTTAAAATCCCTAAGATGCGCACGAGACTCGCGCCAGACAGCCGGTTGACTATCAGCCGCAAGAGATTCAAGAACTTCATGGATATTATGTTCAGCCGTTAACCGACCGGCAGGAATCCACATCCTCGTGCAAAGCTCTGGCTCGACCGAGGTAGGTAGTGGCGCAAGAGCTGCAAATCGACGATCCAAATCCGAAGATTGGACATCGTTGATACGTTGAAGACTGGCTCGAAAGAAGGAGTCATCAGGAACCGACCGCGGCGGTGGTGCTGGCACCGTACGAGGCGGTGGAATTGGCCGTGAGTTGGGACGTTGGGTGACCTGCTGAGAGGTAACACGAGTAACTATCATCGACATAATGAAGAGAAGTTACACGCAAAAGTAGGGATCGTCTACTGCGTCTCTAGTAATTTAAAGCACCTAAGCGAACACCAGTCAAAGGTACCTAAATACCCGGACGAAAATGCACGTGCAGCCTAGTAGCTTGCTAGTAAAGTAGCCCACAATCAACAGTTTCCCCTCAAAAGAGGTGTTTCAGTGGAAACCGCAGTCCGGCCTAGCGTCCTTAACGTTTACCATACTACAATACGAGTAGTTCTTCTAGTTTTAGAAACCTAGTCGATTCCTTTCGGAGAAGACTTAGCGCAAACTCTAGTGCCGCGTAGCAGGGATGAGCAAACAGCCGAAACTGAAAGCGCCTAACTGTCTACGAGCACGGGAGTGTCGGCAGCGGAGCAACAACAACCGACCAGTACTCCGCTAAGAGAAAGTGACGGTAGCGAAGCGAAGAGCGAGACAGCGACTGAAGACACTCTTAGAAGAGTGCAACAGCGACAGCGACGGTGTGTGGGGCGGCAAGGCGGGCGCGACGGAAACGACTGCGAAGTAGGACCGAAGCGAAGGTCTTGAGGCGAGACGACAGTGAACAGACGGGGCTGGGCAGTGGCGCAAGGTGTGGCTTGTTTCTGTGCACTTGTGCAAGAAGAAGCAAATTGAGAAGTGTAGACAGGTGCTGGGCCCGAATAGCGGGCACAGCGTGGCAATTTATTATTGGTCTCTTATTGGGGCCTAAAGTCCCAATATGGACCAATGATAAATCAGCCTGTAATAAATACGACAGTGTTCCCGCCTTGTGTGGTTCCCGAAAGGCGGGAACACTGTTGTATTTATTACGGCTAAAATTTTCGTAATATGTACGAATTAAAACATAAATAAAAATTGGAGTTAAATTTACTTTATACCTAATACTTGGGCTTGAGTCTTCCTCAAGCGCGCGTGTAAGCTAGTGACGATGCGTTATAGCCCCGTTACACCTGGTAGCACTTCGTAGTCCTTCCTATGCCCGAGTTTGGGATGAGCGAATCGTCGTACTATGACGCTCCAGATTTATTTCTGGAGCACGCGACCTTCCCCCATCTTACTGGTGTTGAGTGGGATGCCCTCAATCGCCTCGCTGCGATATCGTGACAGACAATCGTCGCGTCGCTGATGATATCAGCGACCCCTGACGCGCAACGTCTCGCCATACATGAGTGTATGGCACGCGAGCTCGCCGAAAGCAATCGGCGAGGCTTAACTAACTCTCGCCATTCTCGTTAAAAGGCCGTGAAGATGGAAACCTCCTCTTACTCAGGAGAAGGTAAGGACCGGTTGTCGCTGAATCGGTGGTTCCGAGAAGTTGATATCGCCATCGCCTCGAGACTTCTTGAGGCACCCCAGGCGAAGGTCAACATTCTTCTTCCCCGCCTCACCGGGAAGGCCAAGGAGTGGGCCCTTGGTAAGCTCGTTGTGAACGAGCAGGCATTCCCCACCTTGGGAACCATATAGTACGATCTTCGTCTTGCTTTCGAGTCACAGCAAGACGAGAAACTGGTGGGACCAAGATTTTTGTCGATGCGACAGGGTAAAATGGCGATGCGTGACTACGTGCAGATGGCTAGGCATCTGGCGTCGTGTATTATCACGCACCCCATGGACATGTACACGCAGGTGAATGTATTTGTGGGTGGTATGCGTGAGGGGCAGACCCGCTTATCGCTGGAGCGCGCAGAGCCTGCCACATTGGAGGAGGCATTTGCCATCGCACTCCGTGAAGACTTTAAGGTCACAGAGGCATATGCCAAACCCTCGGTCGTCACCGTTCCTCGACCTTCTGGTCCAGAACCTATGGAGATCGACGTGATTGAGTCGTCGAGTGACCGACGACGTGTCATTTCCCATGAGGGTGACGCTCGCACCGGGCGTCAAATGGGTTGCTTTCGTTGTCGCAAGCCAGGACATCGCGCGGCTGAGTGCCTTGCGCCAGCGCCGATATCGGTGCAAGAAGTGGATACCCATCATGAGGGTGATGTACCGGCAGCACGCCCAAGAAACTGTCGGGACCAGTAGGTGCAGGGCGCCCTACTGGTTGGAACGGAGTTCCGGGTCCCCCGGTGGCAGCCCAACCTTCCAGTCCTCCTGCGCTACGCGCACGGTTAAATGCCACCACTACGAGTGGTGATTCACGTCTGATTATTGTCAGCTTACATGTCGCCGGTGTCCGGCGACCTCTGCGAGCACTCCTGGACTCAGGAGCAACGAATAATATCTTTCGTGAATCTTGTTTATCAATGCTGCCTCCCAGCATTCAGGTCCGTGAGGGACCCGGCCAAGTCGTCGTCAAGTTAGCTGACGGGAAACCACACCGCGTATCGCGGCGCGAAGTGTCGTTGCCGTACACGTTTGATGATTTTCGCAGTAATGATGATTTCTTGGTGATCGCAATGAATTATGCATTCGATTGCATACTGGGCATGCCACGGCTGGCACGTTATAAACCCCATATCGACTGGTTAGCCAGATCAGTGAGACGTCGACGCAAGTTCGATGTCAGTGAAGTGTTTACCCATCTCTTGAAATCTCCAAGTGACTGGCCGAACGTCACAGTCGTGGATCGTGATTCCACGACATTGGCGGTGCACAGAGCGAGCGATGGCCCTCTCTTCACTGCTTGTGCTGTTCTTCGAGACACAAGTGCAGTGACTCCTCGCTACAGAGCGAAGAGGACGACGAGGGCGAAGCTAATCCCCCCCCCCCCCCGGTCGAACCGGAGTTCCCATCATCACCCACTGTGGTCGAACCGAGGTTCCCACATGGGCATATTGTGGTTTAGCAGGGGCTCCCACACGGATTTATGGCGGACGCGCAGGATCTCCCGCATCAAGTGTCGACGGTCGAGATTGAGGTACTCCCGTCTAGTGTTTCCGGCATCGTGGATGAAGACATCCAGTGCCTACAGGGGGGTGATGGTTTACACCTGACTGCGGCTCGCCAGATTCGAGTAGTGACTCAAAGCACGATGGGGACAACAGCACCGAGAATTCAGCGTTGAAATGTGTCCACGCTATCGTGTACGTGGAAGGGAGTCCACAAAGGCGCCAATATATCGAAGTCGAGAGTCCTCCCCGTGATGCGTCTTCCATTACAAGCCTTCCAGGTCTTTCCTGAAGCATTTCCTACGTGACCTTAAGGGAGGCACTGTGGAACAAGTGTGTCTGATCACCAACGAGGTGATTACTGTGGCAAACGAGGAGCTTATGACGCGTCCTCGAAGCGCTGAGCCGAAGTCAGCGCGTGAAGAAAGGTTTGAATCACAGTCATGGGAGGCTCTGCGAGAGTCTGGTAACCCTGTCTACGACATTGCTCGTGAGCATGCAGACGTGTTTCCGGACAAGATCCCGGCTGAACTTCCTGCGGACCGTGATGTTAGGCACGAGATTGATCTCGTGTCAGGGTCGTGGTATTGTGTGACATGGCAGTGGCCGTTGCCTCGAGATCAAGTCGAAGCTATTGACGCATTCTTCGAAGGCCGCCGCAAAGCGGGTCATGTGCGTGAGAGTATCTCACCACATTCGAGTCCAACCTTCTGCGTGAAGAAGGCTACGGGAGGCTGGCGGATAGTGCATGCGTTCAATAAGTTGAATGATGCCACTATTCCTGCGCAAACGCCTATTCCCAGGAAGGACATGGTGCTGAATTCCATGTCAGGAAGTGTCATCTTCAGTGCCATCGACTTGACCGATGGCTTTCACCAGATTTTGATGCGCCCGAGCGATATCCCACTCACCGCGGTGAGTACTCCGAGTGGCATGTTATGGGAGTGGCTAGGTATGCCACAAGGATTGAAGAACGCTCCGGCCACTTTCAATAGCATGGTGTCGCAAGTGTTGAGACCCCTTCGGAACTTTGCTCCAAGTTATTTTGACGACATTTTCGTCCACAGTCGCGCCGAGGGCAACCTCAACGATATCCAAGTTCACCTTCAACACCTGAAGCAAGTGTTTCAAGTTACGCGGGACAACAAGTTGTACGCGAATCTCAAGAAATGTGTCTTTTGTGCACCGGAGATTCCGGTGTTGGGTTGCTATGTGAGCAAATCGGTAGTTCGAGCTGATCCAGAGAAGGTGTCGTCCATCTGTTCTTGACCCACACCCAAGAACCCTACGGAGCTACTCCAGTGGCTCGTCTTGGCTAATTATTTGCACAAGTATACGAAGGATTATGCTGGTTCTATCCAGCCTTTGTCGTCACTCTTAAAGAAAGACGCCACGTGGTTGTGGCGTCCCGAGCACCAAGCATCCTTTGAAGCAGTAAAGAAGAGCCTGGCGTCAGCGCCAGTGCTGGTCCTACCAGAAGACTCCAAGCCGTTCCACGTGGTTTGCGACGCCAGTGATTTCGCAATCCATGCAATTTGATGATGAGGGCCGTGAACGGGTCGTGAGTTATCAGTCGCGACAGATGAAGCCAGCTGAGAAGAACTATCCGATTCACGACAAGGAGTTATTAGCGACGCGCTATGCACTCATCAAATTTCGCGTGCATCTCCTTGGTGAACGTACATTTGCTTTGTACACCGATCATGCATCGCTGCGCACAGCGATGAAGAGCCCACACTTGTCCCATCGGATGACACGATGGCTCTCTTTCTTCTCTGAGTACAACTTCGTCGTGCATTAAAATCCAGGCAAGAATAATATTCTCGCTGATGCTCTGTCACGTCGTCTCGACTACGATCCTCGGTCTACTCTGAGTCGTCAGGCTACTGATGACGAGGATGATGATGACCGATGTGCAATGTGTGTATCGCTGAACCTACCTCGGGTTACACCCGAGCCGTATTTATTTGATGAGATCGTCGCAGCTTACAAGAGCGATTTAGATTATGCAGACGTTATCGAGTATCTGCGCGCTCCCAGCGATGCTGCACTGGGAGAACTATCCCTAACCAAGCGCGAACACATTCATCGATACAGTCTAGACGGCGATTTGCTTCTGTATAGCATCGACCAATTCGATGCTCCTCGTACGGTGATTGCCAATGACATGGATTTGCGTGCAAGAATCATCCACGAGTACCACTATGCCCCTGCTGGCGGCCATTTAGGCCGCGAAAAGACTTTCGCGGCTGTGTCTCGAGACTTCTTCTGGCCCCACATGTATAAGTGGGTACGCAACTGGATCCGAACGTGCGAAATATACCAGCGTGTAAAGCCATCTCCATCGTCACAGGATCCCTTGCGATCGTTTCCAATTGCAGCAGAGGCCTGGAGATCAGTTTCGATGGACTTCATCTTCGGGCTTGTGCCCGATAGCCAAGCTTGAACGGGCATCTTGGTTTTTGTTGACAGATTCAGCAAGATGACACATCTCGTGCCTGTTCACGCTAAAATCACCGCGGCAGAGACTGCGGCGCACTTCATCGACGCGGTGTTCCGTCATCATGGCCTTCCAGAAAACATTGTTTCGGACCGTGATCCGCGATTTACGTCCGCATTTTGGACTTCACTGTTCGAGCCCCTCGAGAAAAACTTCTGATGTCGACTGTGGCCCATCCGGAAACAGATGGGCAAACCAAGTGCGTGAACCGGGTCCTCGAAGACGTTCTTCGATGTTATGCTACATCATTCACAAGTTGGAGTGCATTTTTACCACTCGCTGAGTTTGCACTCAACAACGCCGTACACGCGTCAACAGGGTTGACGCCATTTTTTTGTGAATTTGGCTCGTCACCCTCGTGTTCCTACTCTCCTTGCCAAGGAGCGACCCACAACACCTAGTGGCTCCACTCTGGGGGGGATAAAGGTGATAAACAAGGATCGAGTGCAGCTCACGGTATTCTGAGCGCGAATGTAGTAACCCGATCCAAGGCAAAGACGGCTACTTTGACGCCACCAGACGTGGCGTCCCCATTAGCTCGATGGACTGCGCAGACATTGATTGACCCGTCTTCGTGTAAGCGTTCATGTGGTGAAGTGCCAGGAGAATCGGGGCCCAGGGTACCAAGGCCCCAGGGTACCAGGGTACAGGGGCCCCAGGGTACAAGGGCCCAGGCCTCGCAAGGTCTTAAGGTTCAATCGAGGGTCACCAGGGACAGGGTTTTCAGTCACCAGGGACCGGAGTACTAGTCACCAGGGACAGGGTTTTCACGGGGACAGGGATACCAGTTACCGGGGACAGGGTTTCTAGTAACCGGGGACAAGGGTATCAGTCACCAGGGACAGGGCACCAGGGACATGGCACCAGGGACTGGGGTTCCAGCTACCGGGGACAGGGGTACCAGACACCGGGACAGGGGTATCGAACGTCCAGGGTCAAAGATACAAGGTTACCCTACCGGGCGCACACCAGGATTCGAAAGTTCCAGTGCCCCGAGGTGGTCCAAGGTCCTCAGGTCAACGAAGGTACAAGGTATTTCAACGTGCAGAGTCGGTACAGGCCCCAAGGTCCAAGAGCCCAGGGTATCAGGGACCAGGGGCCCAGGGGTTCCAGGGGCCCAGAGGTACAAGAGCCCAGGGTATCAGGGACCAGGGGCCCAGGGGTTCCAGGGGCCCAGGGGTACAGAGGCCCAGGGGTATCGGGGCCCAGGGGTACCAGGGCCCAATGCCCGAGGGTGCAGAATCGGTACACAGAATATCGAAGATTACAGAAAGTACAGGTACCTAGGAGCCAGTTCGTCCTCCAAGAGTCGACACGTGACACTATCCAGATCAAAGGGTTAGGGTCAGGCAAGAAAAAGCATACAAAGTCTAAGGTAAATAAACACACTCGAATTTGCATTACACGTGGCAGCTCTAAGCGCCCCTCCTAAGCTTCTCCGTCGCTTCACCTCTTCCGAGCGGGATACCCTTTGGCCCCCCGACGTCCAGCAGGTGTTAGACGGCTCAAGCAACGCAAGTTGAACCTCGGGATAGTTGGCCTGAGGTGTGTCAACACTCTACGACCCGCTACAGGAAGCGGTTTCCCTACGGGGAAGAACACAAAGGGGTCCAAGGACCAAGAACCGTTAGTCACCGAAAAGGGCACATAATACCAGGTGTATTGCTCTCTACACAGTCGATTGATCCCAAGAAACCCCGGGCCGAGTGAAGTATATTCACTCGGGACCACCAAGTCCCTCCATACAAAGACCAAGTATATAAGTCTTCTGCCTCAACGGAGGAGCAAGACCAGCCAAGCCGACGGACATACAAGGTAAGACCCAAGGTTTACACGACACGGTATCGGGGTACCCCCTCGTGAGTCGGCAGTCCGGCGCTGTGTGTGTTTGTGGTTCTCCTACGTTGTTTGAAAATCCACTACACCACAAAAATTCAAGCTATCAGGAGCTCGTCTTTCCGTTAGTTGTCCATGCGTCACCGTTTTGTGATTTGCTGTTCCTGCTCCGCATCCCTCGCTCGGGACGGTAGCAGCGCCGCACCTGTCGGTCCCGGTGGAATATTGCAAGTATCAGATGAATCTTGCGACGACAGCCCCGCCACGACTTGAGTACATGGCGGCAGATTTTCATGCGGTAGACCTTGCTTCGACCGTGGGTTCCCGGTCGTCTCTTGCGTTTGAGAGTGGACCGCGAAATCTTGGAGCGTCATCTGTCTATCTCTCGACGGTTCCTTTACGTTAGTCGTGGGAGGTAATATAACCTTTGCCGGGACTATTCCAACGAGCCTCCCTAAACGTTTATAAAGCTTTTTTAACGTTGTCGCGATGCCGTCGAAACCTAGATAAAGAAAGTCGTATGGCTCAAACCTTCTCACGACCACGCTTGTCTTTTTAAGGAGGGTGAATACGGCGGTGATCGCGTCTGTTACCGTCGGCGACATTGGCAAGGTCGACACCAGTCCACTGAGCTGTCCAAGAAGCTGGATCTCTAGGGTCTATGTGACGGGGTCGCTCCTTCAAAATACATCAAGTTTGCGTCGATGGTATGCTCTCGTTACATCAGCGTCCGACCAGGTTGACGGTCCTGACTTCTCGGGGCCTACCGACCTGTCGTTACCTGGCGCCTTCATCCTGAACCTTTTTGGATAGGACTGTGCGATCTTTGTGTTTTGTTGTTTCGGGAACCTCTCGGTTATCACCATCGGCTGATGGTCTGCGGTGGAGTGAATTTATGAAACTGTATGATAAAACTCCAAAACACTTTCTGTGTTGAACTGCCGACTGTCGGAGTGGTACCCCAATGCCGCGAATGGACCTTCTATCACCCTGTGTTCCCGTCGGCTGGCGGATCGCACTCCTCGAAAACTTGGGTGAGAATGGAGATGTATGTCTTGAAGAGGTAGACCTGGGGGGGGCCTCGAGTGGATATGCCACTTGGTGGGTCGATCGGTGGCCACTCGATCGGTCTAGACGAGAGTGGACTTGTGGTGAAGTGCTTTTAGAAATACGGGGAACCCTAGCACTTTCTCATAGTTCGAAAAGCACTCCACCACAACTTCAATTGACCGAAAAATAAGGGAACGTGCATTAGGGATAGGAGACCGAAGAGAAAGGGGATCAAGGGGTGAAGCAACCGTTGGCTGGTAAATATTTGTAGGACCGACAAAAGGGAGATCATTGCCAGGGTACCGGTTTAACGGTACTAAAAGGAGTCGACCGCGGTCCCTCATTGGTAGACCTCGGTCTCTCGTCGGTAAACCTCGAGGGGTTGACCACGGTCCTTTGAGGTTGAGCTACTCCTGGCCAGTCAACACAAGGAATCAGGACATTAGGCAAGTATCAATTAAGAAGTTAAAGGAAAGGATTATATTAAATACTACTCAATTTGCGATCTACGTGGTACGACTTCGTCGCACTTTTTCAAATCTACCCGCCTGTTCCGGGGAAAAGATACACTTTGGCCCCCGTTGGAGACAGTCGTATGTATGGCTGGACTCAAGAGCGAACATAACCCCAGGAAGTATTTTGGACTGTGGGTTCGTACTCCCTCCCCAAAGATCTGCTATCTGTAGCGGCCTCCCTCACTTAACGGTTCGGGAGCAAAGTAAAGGTCAAATGGTTAACACTCCTAAGACAAACAAGGAAAAGGCCAAGGGCGACAAGATCCCTGAAGTATTTGGTTATAAGTTTGTAGAGCAGATTGCGCATTTTGAGGGAAGCATCAAAGGCTGTACGTCACAGATATTCATGATCTAGAGAAGCTGGAGCATCTTCATGACTCAAACGCGGTACACAAAACAGCAAGAAGCGAAATTAAACTGCATCGACATTAGACGGATGCGATGATGGCTTCCACGATGGAGTGCAGAGTACGATACACTATTATCAGCCAGCAGGCAGCAGATGATGAGCGTCCATCGCTTGGGGACACTGTTACAAATTATCGCGCGAGCCAAATTTTCCATCCCTAAGTTAGTCTGACGCCGATATGCCATTTTTCCGATGCTAAGCTGTCGGTCTGCAACGACAATACCATGACAAAAAATGCCGAGCTAATTAAATGCAGCAGACTAAACTTTCATCGCCTGTTCATCACTTTTATTATGCAGTGCATAGCTATCGTTCTGGTAGTCGTGAGCAAAGCACCCGGTCTACATCTGCAACTTCAGCAACAGATTAGCTGCGTGTTCGGTCTACATCTGCAACTTTATCTACAGATTAGCTGCGTGTTGGGCGTGGGACTGGGTCAGTTCCCGACAGACGCTTGAAGATGGCGTCCATCTGGTCCGCCACGAGTTCGTAGCCGCCGTTGCCTTGCAACGCGCAGTGCACCTGCTCATTCAGTCCGCCAGAAGTAGCTGCCTCATCGGCCATTTCGCCAAATCTCTCAGTAGACTCAGCTCCAGCCGTTGCCAGCGAATGGAAGAAGGACGCAATATAGTCACGAGAAGCTTGGTCACCTGTCAAAAAGTACGTGACTTGATCAGCAGTGAACGTAAAGCAATGTTACACATAAGCCAGCCACATACCGACGCCGTTGTTGACACACCATTGCTGTGTCGTGTCGCACGTGGCGTAGAAGAACGAGATGAGTGCTGTAACACATGTGAGCTTTGTAATCTCATCCTCCTGCATCACCATGACAGGCGTGCCAATCTGAGCAAACAGGTCGCGCGCAAAGGCATTGTCCGGATAAGCTAAGACAGGACCGGTGCGCTTGGCCGCGACGGGCAGCGGCACCGAACGCACGACACTTTCCGTGGGCAGCTTGACAAGCTGCAGCAACTCATCGTATGGGATTGTAGCCATCATAGACACCACTTTCTTGCCAATAAACGAAAGCTTGGGCAGTTCCTCACGAGCTACGGTTGGGAGTAAACCGATGAAGATCACATCGCTCTTTTCCACGATCTCATGGTTGGACGCACTGAAGCTCACACGGTCTGGAAATTTGGTCACGAGCGCCTCTGCTTTGGCCTTGGTACGCGCTGAAATGTATGCATGCTTGGGCTGCCAGCCGTTGGCGCTGCAGAAGCCCGTGAAGACAGCCGACCCGATCTTGCCTGTTCCGAGCAGGCCCAGTGTTGTGTCAGACGAGGGAGCCATGATTTGGATTCACTTTAGACGTATAGAATCATTTCCATCGTTAGAAATGCATTATATCACTATCTAAAGAGAATCGCTATCTGGAGGTGGCTGACATGGTACCGACTGCGTTCCGAGCCCATCCTCTGCTCAAAAAGTGGCCATATGTATGTAAAACATTACTACAGCCGACAAGTGTCTTTTTTATAGTCATCATGGTGCATTTTATGAAATGTTAGGCAACAAAGTAGATTGCAAGCAGCAACATTGATGTACGCAATTTACAGCTTGTGTGCGAGAAGTTATGTCTAACGAGAGGATATCCTTTTTTGTATAATATTACGGAGGTTATACTCGACAGACAGGTTAGCGGACAACTCAGTTTGAGCTTCGGTTTGATGCTAGCTGTGTACGAGCTTTTGGTTCGCACGCCCTGACACATCACATCTCGACCCTTCTCGTACATACACTCAGGTAGTTTTAAATCCGGTCAAGTCGCAGAGGTACCGAGCTATCGGTGGACCTGTTCAGAATTTCCAACACGTCCTTGAAGCTCGGTCGTTGCTCAGGGGTACTTCCCCAACACAGCGTCATAAGCTTCTTGAACAGGGGCGGACACTTCTCAGGAACTGTTGGTCGTAGGTTGTTGTTAAGCACACCGAGCGCTGCCTGAATCTGCGTAAGACCTTCGTACGGGCACTGCCGTGTGACGGTCTCCCAGACTACGACGCCGTATGAGAACACATCTGCCTTTTCCGTGTACTTTTCAGCAGCTAACACCTCGGGTGCCATCCACTGCGTTGTCCCACAATTCCCCGTCATCGTCTGAAAGTGCGCACGAACACGCGCTAAACCAAAATCGGAGATCTTGAGACCGTATGATGAATCAATCAGCAAATTAGGACTCTTTAAATCGCGATGTAAGATCGGTGGTTGGAACGAGTGCAAGTAGTTCATACCAAGTGCGGTGTCACGCGCGAAACTACCATTCAGAATAAGATGAAGTAGTTAGTTGATTCCATGAGACATGAAATGAAGTGGCATCGGCTATATACCAACGACCAAAAAACGCAAGCTGCACAATTACACAGCTATCGTACCCATACCGCTTGCCCATATCAATAACAACATCTTGACGGAGAACGTTCCAGAGCGAGCCGCGAGGCAAGTATTCGATCACGAGGCAGCGTGTTGGTGGCTCCAGACATGCACCCATCAGCAAGCATATGTTAGGGTGTCTATGCATACGCCAACAGTTAGACATCATATTCAGTTCAAGCGCGTTGATTGTCAAACACCGGAAGCAACACTACCTTAGAATACTCATGATCTGCACTTCGGCCTCAAACTCTCCAAGTATGTCAGCCGTCAAGTGCTGGCAAACCAAAATTTTCACGGCCACTGCAGTCCCCCGCCATTTAGCCCGATGCACAGTCCCGAATGCGCCTTGACCAATCATCTCTTCAATTTGCAGCTCCTCGAAGTCTACATGCAAACTGTCATTTTTGGCCTTCGACAATTTCGGTCTCTTTCTTCGTGTATTGCCACAAACATCTGCAACACCTCCATTCACTGCACCTCCTGCACCAGCTGCTCCGCTAAGTCTTGCACCTGGTTGTGCTTGTGCCTCGCTATTTCCCGCGTTTTGTTCTGCTTGTGTTTCATCTGCTACAAGCTCTGCAGTAAATGTAGCATCAACCTCATCGACCAAAGGGGTCGCCGAAGTTTTCACATACATTGGCGAGTGCAGAAACAATGGGATCCGTGCCTTGCGCGCGACCTGGAGCTGCATTTGAGCTGGCGGAGCCACGTCCCGTACAAAATGCCGCTCAATGTTCGTATTCAGTGTCTTTGCGTCAGAAGACGCATCTGCTATGTCAGACGATTCCAGCAAATCTCCGCCGCGGTATAGCTCTCCAATCTGGATCGGCTTGAGTACTCGCTCTGACGTTGCAATATGAAGCAAATGGTCTTGAGGTCGATGGCTTTCCAGGTCGTAAAATCCATCACTCTCAGCTTCAAACGATACACTTTCCAACGAGTTATTCGCATATCGAGGTGGCGACAGGAAACCCATCTCTTCATCATAATCGTCAAACGTGATCCGATGTTGATTTCGTCCAGAGTCCTGCGGTTGTTCCTGCTGACTAAACTCATCGTAGGCAGCTCCTTCATATATGGTAGTCGGCAGCTGGTCCATAGCAAGTTCTCCGTCTACTGCATTGCTCTTAACTTCGTTACTGGATGAAGCTGTGGTAGTTGCTGTAGCGCTGTGTGTCCGTCTCCGCATAGGTTGCAAGCTCTGGGGAAGATAATTAGCTCCAGATGCGGCCGTGGCATCGACGCCAGCGGTTGCTACCGTCGAGGACGTCGTTTGTCTGCTCTGTGTGAATCCTACGTACCCATGATGGGGTTGCAGCAGTTGCTGCTGTGTCTTTTCAACCTGTTGAATCTGTTGTCGCCCTTGTCCACGTTTCTGTTGCTGAGTCTGCAATCTATTGGTAGGAGACGTCCGATTCAGGAAAGGCATGGTATCGTCTCCTCCATCTACAGGACTACTCTTGTGGTCCAAAATCTCCTCGTCACTCCATGGCTGCTCACGAATAAACTTGAGATACATGGCAATAGCCAGTACTAGAAAGCACAGTGAACCAGACAGCACGGGGTCCATTTCAAACATTTTGTATTGATAGAAAAAGATCGCTCCAAAGCTTCAAGCTAACGCGTTACGTAAAACTTCGCTGGCTGAGTGAGCTCAGCTGAAGGCTGAGGACGTTGCAGTCTTCAGCGCCGTGATAAAATCCTTGGAATTACCTCACACTCGGCAAGTTACTGCTCTCTCGAAGTGACGCTGCGTCACTAAATGAGTGCTTCTCCCTTTGTAAATTCGTGTTAGCTACACCACGTACAACTTGGGTTTATTTAAGCAGCACAACAGGATGGCTACACTTTTGTTCGTCTACAAGCCGTCATCAGTCTTGGCACCAGGCAACTCAAGCGATAGAATGTGGTGTAGTGCAGCCTCAAACGTTGCGAGGTAATAGCCAGATTCATTACGTCGCTTTTCGGGATCGCACAGACGGTTTAATAGCACTTGGGTCAGGATCGGGGCTTTCAGCTCACTGTGGACGATCACATATATAAAAATGGGCAAAAAGTCGTCTCCACTCAGCACGTCTTCCTCTTGCATCTTGGTAGACGCTTCACTTTCCTTAGCTTCCGTTACGACCTTCTGATCTTCTTTGCATGTATCGGGGAGAGCATTGGCTTCATCCCCAACGGTCAAGCCCCGGGAAAATCTGTTGGAACTGCTGTTTGTGGGCGACAGCATCCGGATCACCGGCGAGGGGATCGACTGAGGCTGCGAGAGTACGCCAGCTATTGGTGTCGATTTTCGACGTCCATGATGCGGAGTCTCGCTCAGGTGCATTGTGTGTTCAGCTTTGTAAAGCAAGTGGATCTGGTGTGCTGTGGCGACCAATTTACGCATCTTATCCTGCGGCAGAAAAGCTCTGTCTACCTCCTTAATGACATCCACCACTGACCGCCAACTGCTCAACGAAATTTTATCCACCGGGATACCGAAGTAGCTCTGCGGTTTGCCTTTTAGCTGGTATACGCGCTGGCGAAATTGTTGCTCTTCATGCTGCACATGCCCGCGCAGGTACTGTGTCAAGTCATACATTAATGGCACGCATATGCGATCTTCCAGCTCATGCCGGATAGCATCCGACAGAAGTTGCTGCATTTGGTCCTGTCTACTTACAGCATCCGTTGTCATTAAATTCATTAAAGACCTGGGTCGCCGATGCGCTGGATTGCTGGTGCTACTCGCAAGAATTTGTTTCATCAAACGCTGAACAATAAGTTCCATCTCCTCAAACCGATGCTCAAGCATGTACTCCTGTACACCGTCCAAGATGTCGCCAATTTCGTCCAGAAGACTCTTCCCAGAGCTAATTACATTCTGCTTCATTTTTGTGAGAAACTTTTGGCAAGCCTTTCCTTCAGGAGACGTCAGATCGTTCACGGTGTGGTATACAAACACGCGAAGCTCGCGAGAGATAGGCTGGGTCTGATTGCGCTCAAGGATACCCACGTGCGGTACTTCCAAAAACTGTTGCAATTGCTTGAGAGCTACACCATGCAAAAAGGTGAGAGGCGATGGAGCCACAAGTGCTGCTGTAATACGCAAAAAACTCTCCAGTACAGGTGCACGATCATATGCAAGCTGATTTTGCGAGTTGCGGCCATAGCCACGACGTGTTGGGAATACACATTCATCTACCTGCCGAGATAAACGGCTCAACTGTACAAAACGCACAAAAGATCAGCGAAAAATTTATATTACATGATGCGCTTACTTGTGGCGAGCACGTACTTTGCGGTGAAGTTTATGGAGTTCGCGGAAACGCTTCCGCGTAAACCAGACTACACCACTTTCCACATCTACAACACGAACAATATACTCCTGGCAAACCCCAGTCAGACAGGAGCTATCGTAAGTCACCATGCACGCGGGTCAAGAGTTTACAAAAACTGGTACGCACCATGTGACCACTGTTTCGGGCAGGCTTGCTTTCTTCGCGGAAGATTCGAATGCACAGTGCCTGACGAATTCCTGATACAAGTCACGAAATGTTAGTCCTTGCTGTTCCGATCTAGCTGCCAAGTTCTTCCACTTGCCTTTCGCTTTGAGGATGAGCAAGTGCCACTCGTGGTCTGAGATCTTGCCATTCATATTCATTGTCATGTCCATCAACTGCAGACGTTCAACAATAACGCGTAAGTTTCGCACATCACCACCTAATTAACTCATCCTCATAGATGGATCCATGACGCACCATCTTGGTGGGCTGAATCCTGGACAAAATCATAGAGCGCAGGAAGTCAAGTTCCTGACTCGATATGACACCGCTGCGATAAATCTCGCTCGCCTTCGACAGAAGCTCAAACACAAGATGCGGTTCGCGATGGCGAATGCGCTCTTCCGCCTCTGACAAATTAAGTTTGCTCTTCTTAATAACGTCAATGTGCGCAATGGCAAAGATACTAGACCGTTCTTTGCGCAGCTCCATCGGGAGAAATTTTTGGTTCATCGAGTCCGCGACGATCTTTTGGTTAGCACGCATAGCTGCATCATCAAGCACAGGGGTGACAACCTCGTCTGTCGATGTGCTGTCATCATTGAACTCCTTTCCATAGAGCGTGCCATCATCCTCTGCCAACGTGCTGTTCGACCTGTCCGACCGATTCTCCACCATAGCATCCGACGTTTCGACCGCTTCCCTCTTTTCCTCTTCTTCCTCTCCTTCCTCTTCTTCACACTCTTCATCTTCCTCTTCAGCATTTCCTTCTTCAGAAGGCGTATCCTTGGTTTCATCATCATCTGGCAACTGCATTAATCAATAACGTGTCAAATCTAGACACCATTACGTCGATTAAATCTGACCAACTCACCCTTAAAAAGTCGTCTGGCAATGGATTTTTCACGGGCCAATTACTGCACTTGCCTCTTAGTTTCTCTGCTCTTGTCGTCGCATGTTCCGTTTGCTCCATGTTCAAAACCACTGCAATTGTGTCCTCCATAATAAATCCATTGGCTTCCAGTACAACCTGCAATGTCTCGGACTCCCACTTGGGAAAAATAGAGTGCAAGATCTCTACACCACGTGCTACTGCTGCCGGACTCGGCGTGGGTATGGGTCTGATTGGCGTAGTGGAGGACGGCGGCCCGTTCACACTCTTTTTCTTGAAAAAAATAGCCTCTAGAAGACTCTTCTTGCCATCATCGCCACCTTTCTTGAGCTTCATGAGACTGCCACGGTCACGTCGACGTCGGGATGGAGGCGAAGGGCCGCTGTCCATCGAGCGAGGAGCTACGCCCCGAGGCTGGAGTTGAGACATCGAACTGCAAGGAGGAACCGACGTGGGGGATCGACGGTATGCGATTAGGCAGTTTCTGGTAACAGGGTCACTCTAAAATGGGTCACTACAAAATGGGTCCTCATTAATGTTTAGGACCAATTTCATCTGACATTTGCTCCCCCTCAGAGTATCATGTTCTTGCAATGGATCTCAAAATGCGACCTGATGCCGGTATCTGCTGATTCGTACGTGCTCAAGGTAAGTGTCCTCTCTACATTCATGTCTTGTATAAAACTCTACACATTTTGCTAAACCCTCTTGGTCATTTTTCCACGTAGAAATTCTCCGAAAAATGTCAGCGCGGCATGTGTTCAATGGTTGTCAGTTCCCTTACCGAGACGAATGTAGACATATTGACGGTGATGCCCAGTGGTCATCATATCCGCTGGGCCATGGAGGTACTTGGCCACTCATTTGCGCTGCCTATGGAGGATTCGGACGTCATCTTGGGCTCTTTGGGCATCTACCAACGCTGGCTTGGGGTAGACGACGAGACTAAAAGCGGGAGAGATCAGAGACCAGCCTGTATGCAGAAAGTAGAACAGACATTTATTCAGGACATGCTGGGCCAGATGACGCTGCTTTTTGAGGAGCGCACAAAAGAGGACGGGAGTGTGGAAAAGAATATGGCCACACATGTGAATTTATGCACGAAGTACTGTTTGTTTTGGATCTATAGCTTTTTGGTAGATTGGAAGGTGCTAAGTAACTTGGTGTGCTGAATATGGACAGGGTGTTAGAGACTTTTGATGCTCTGGTGAAGCTCCGAGGAGCGCAACTATCTAATTCAACGTGGAATCGGCTCATTCGACTGATTCTTGGCGCAGCGGATGGTCTGCTACATAATCTACGCAACCAACTGGGCAATCACTTGTGTGGACAGCTTGTGCGACTTTTGTTTGAAATCTATCTGCGGTCACTGCCGCAGTGTGGGCCGAGAGGTGAGCTGTGGAGTTTGCTGCAAAAGTTCTGTCGGCGCTGGATTCATCGAACGCTAGTTATCGAGCAGTGGAACGCTGTCACGCTTGGACTCACGCGGAATCTTATGCGTCGAATCCACGATCGGGACGTTACCAAAGAGATCGAGATCATTTGGGTAGACAACCGACAGCCCTCCAAGTTCGAGCTGGAGAGCCCCATGCTTGCTTATGCGTGGTACCGTCTCCTCCGCGTGATCGGCCATCCTTCTGCGATTTTTGACCCGGATGTTTACCTCGCTGCTGTGAAGGGAGTGAGTCGACTAGCCGACGAATTTGCGCGCATTGAAATGGTGCCGCGTGTGCAGTGGGAGCACCTGCTTGGCGTACTCAACCAAGCGCCGGACCGCGACAGCCCAGTGTTCCAAGGTGTTCAGAACGGGAATGCCGATTCGACCAATGACATGCCCACAACTGCTCTTCTGACCACAACGGAGCAGCCGCGAGCTCCGCCTGATGTCAACTCGATCCTACGGCTGCTGGGACCTTGGCTATTTGATGCCTGCTTGACTCGCAAATCGCGCTTTGCAGCTGGTCGCAGTGAAGCACTGCGCTGCCTCGGTAGGCTTTTGTGCCATTACTCCAATGGCCGCTCCAAACGTATCAACTGGGCTTTCAGCGTTCGCAGTTTGATGGCTTTACAGAATGCACTGCTCGATGATGACGAACGGATTGTAGCTTCTGCAGTATACAACTGGTCGAACGTGTTCAGTTTGTATGGAAACCATACACTACGTGGTGCCGGTGTTATTGCAGGACCATTTCACAAGGCTATTGAGTGTGTATTCCGGTACGAAACAGGAGGCTAGTCGATGATTTACTTCTATTGTAGTAATTGTGCTGTTTGTGATTGTGTAGTGCTGCGGAACGTAAGGACACTTCGTCTTCGTCATCTACAAAAGCTGATGGTCGGCGTGGTGGACATTCATTCTTTGTTCAGGATGATCAACATATTGGAGGAATCCCTATTGTGCTGCTTCGACGAGCAAGCATTGAGGCTTGCAGCTCTCTTCTCACTATACATGCCCACGTTCCAGTACGTTTGATTATTGCAGTCGCGTTGAGTCACTGTTTTGCACAGGTAGATTAACATTTTTGCTAAAAAAAACGCGGTTGTATTGTAGCGTGCGATGATCAAGGAAGCTGAGCAAGAGATCGTACCTCCTTCGATGGCCGGTCTTCCAGGACTGTATTCAAGCTTGCCTAAGTACACCAGTTCGAACGTTGTCGCTCTCCTGATGACTGCGATTAAAACCGAGACAGACCCTACAAACCAACAGATGATGATGTGGATCATGACGGTGGCCATTCAGCAGGAGGCTGCTTATTGGACGAACGGTTTGGCATCCAGTCGCAACTCCCAAGTACCTTTTACAATCTTGCTGATTTGTACTATCATCAGCAAGTCGCAAAAGTATAAGCCACCAGTGCTGTTCACGGCGTTTGACTGCCTGCGCCATTTATCATTGGTTTGTGAGGAAGTTTTCTTCCACCATGCGAATTCGGTTGTCCACCTGGTCAATGCGTGTTGCGACTTCATTAGCAACAATGCGCCGATTTTGCGCTCGAGGACGGCACCGTTCTATTTGGATAGTCTCATGGCAGCAGCATATCACTGCATAATCGAATGGATAGTAGCCGTACCTTTGTTGCTAAGCAAGCAACAAGTTATCGCAAAGATTATCACAACTATCGTAGACGGTAACGAGCGGTTCCAGTCGTTGTCCCCCAATGGCACGAACATGTCCGTGCGCGAGGCTGCTGAGAAACTGGTGAACATGCTGATGAAGCATCATGTTTCGCATACCAGTCATTCTGGTTCCATCGGCCACTCATCGAATTTGGCTGAAAAGGTATGTATTAATGCATACTATGAAGATGTACTAAGTTCTGATCCTCACACGTTGTTCTCGCTTCAGTCTGTGCTTGTACAGTTCTGCGACCTGAACGACGCGACCGATATCTATCGCCATTGCCGCTTCTTCTCTGTAAACAAAAACTCTATTCTGACAGTGATCGAGAAGCCTGCGAACGAGACGCAATCAGGGGAAGCAATTCTAATTATGCGAGACTCAACTGGTCGTTATGTGTGGCGTTCAAAACCCAGGCACCATGATGGCCCACGCCCTAAGAGTGTAGCTGAGTTCGAGAATTTCACTGAAGACCCCGGCGCACAAGCTCGAAAGCGCTGTGACTTCGATTCTGACTCTGACGCGAATACTCACGAGGAGAGCGACGACGCCGACTATGAAAGTGATGAGGAGCCACGCGTGGAAGACCCACTGCTTGTTGCGATTTGCAACACGCACGCAAAGACTCCCATGACAAGCTGGCGTTCATCCCCTGATGGTGGGGCTGACATGGGCTCGAACCCAATGAAAGTTTTGTCAGGCGAAGGCAATACGGGAATGTGCACGATCGAACGGAAAGCTCAGGCTGGTCGTGATGATGCCCGAAGCACTCAGGATGCAATATTTATGAGTTTGCTAGTGTCACAGAGCCAAGAGGATAGACTTGCTTCTCAACCGAAAGGCTCTGCGTGTGGCGTCAGGTGCTGCAAACCCACACCGCCAGAGAAAGACCCTGTGCTCCAGACGTGGGAAGTATCACGGAGGATGATGAGTGAGCTGGGCTTTCTGTCAGTACGCAACTGGGGTTCTGTATTCGCCATGGATGCAACAGTGGCTACTGATTTTCTCCGAGACTTGGAGACACTTGATAAACTTCCTGAGCGTGAAACATTTGATATTGCTGTTGCGTATGCATTTACTGGTACTTCTCGAGGTGGCTATGACCAGATACATCTGGCTACCTCGACGGATGTGCATGCTGGCTACGTTGATCTGTCAAAGGACTACCAGCTCTTCCTGTCGTCCTTTGGTGAACGAGTTGATAGTCACGACCGCAAAGGATACTCTGGCTTCGACGCTAACCTCGCGAATGGCCGGATGCTTTACTATTCGCACTACAGTCACGAGGCATGCATTTACGTGCCTACCCTTTTGGTGGAAGGAGAGGATGGTAACAGCGACAGTGACAGTGAAGCCGAAGACACTGAAGGGGCACATGCCAGGATGCTGTTCCAACACGCTAATGTCATCATTGTCTGGAACGAGAGCCAGCAGACGTATCGCCCGGGGAGTGTGTTGTGGGACGCGGTATTCAAGCTACCGATGCCTACTTCAGGAGTAGTACTGATCATCGACCCATTGGGCAACGACCTTTACTGTGTGCACGTTAGCCATGAGTCGTCACCGCTGTTCAACCAACGCGATGTTATTGCAAACCAAGAGGGCAGCTACGTGGACGAGGCTGACGTATATACAAGCCGCGTGCTTGGTCCGTTGCTGGATGGTATGGTGGTTAACGGTGCTTGGTTGGCCCCCCTAGTGCGCCAAACTGCCATCAACGCAGCCGTCCTTTCACGTGCTTTTCATCGATATCAACACGATATTGGTGCAGTTTCGTCTGCGCCTGTAGGTGCTGAAGCCAACCGCAGCAATGTGATTACATCGTTTGTTAACAAGCACATGCGTCCAAAGCTTCCTGGCGAGTTTTATGGCGACTTGTTTGCGGATCTTACTAGCGAATGCTAACGGGACACTTGGTTAGAAAAGAAGGTGGCGTCAATGTGTCAGCATGTCCAGTTTCTTCGTTCGCAACGCTGATTCTGCTATCTCGTGTTGGCATTTCTGTTTGCTGAATAATACCTATCTGTGACCAATTGCTATGTGGCAAGACCCACTACAACGAACGCTTCCATCCCAGAATCAAAAAAATTGTGCTTGCCAGCAAAAGCAGCCGGATTGTCGAGCAGAGAAAAATAGTACGAGGACCATCACGATATACTCATTTTCGTTCGGTTTTTCTGATCATGCTTCAAAAATGCAGACCTGCGAAGATCGGCGAATTTGTAAAGTGCTGCCGAGCTGCTCAAAAGTCGTGCTGAATAGGTCGTGAAACACTTATCGTGATGATAGTGCACAAGCCATTACTTTCAAGGCTTGCCTCGGAGGGAAGCTTTGAACTTGTTTTCTGCTCGATGTTCCATTCTTGTCTAGGCCGCAAGCGCCGACGGTGAAGAAGACGGTCAGGACAGTAACGAAGGTTGTTACTATGATTCGCACAAGCTACATGAACAAGTAGACGAAACGTCACGAGTAGTTCGTAGAAACCAAGAAAGGCATCCTTCCGTAGGATTTATATGCATCAGCTTCACCAATTAATGCATCCTTTCGTGTCTTCAATACCTCAGTATCGAAGAAGCCGCACACGCATATCGGACTTTTCCTTGTACTTCAGACGTCGTCAGCTTTACGATCGCATTTTCTTGGCAACGTTGCTGTTTCCTGCGTTAGGATCGTAATCGAATTGTGAAAGGCTGAGGTCTTCCATGTCGTATTGGGCGTTCGAATAAGCTTGGCCGGTTGGAGGTTGCTCGGACTTCACGATTGTTGACTGGTAATTCGATGCCATCATACGTGGTGGGGGCGGGGCGTTTGACGAGACTTTTCGCTGCGGTTGAGGACGGAACGCGCTTGTAGAAGAACTCAATGCGGCGGTTGAAGTAGAGGGGTGATGTATAGCACTCAAATTGTTCGTTGCAGTAGTCTGGATTGTGGTGGTTGGCCTTGAAATAACCGGAGCTGGTTGCTGCACGGATGCATTCTCCTTTGCAGTCAATTGATTACGCATGACTTGCGGTGGTTTCCACTGCTGCTGTTGCATTTGTTGATGTTGTTGATGCTGCTGCGCAGATTGCAAAGGCGGTATTTGCTGTCTTGGCGGCTGCTGAACTTGTGGATGCTGTGGAAGTGGCTGCTGGGGCCGCAGCTGCTGATTCTGTTGTGGGTTTAGTACTGGCCTATTTTGTGCTGTAGATTGTCCATCTACCACTGGCTGACGCGGAACTCCACCTTGCATCTGTTGTCCTGGTAATATCACGTTCGGCGCAGCTGCCAAGGGTGCCATCGTTTTGTTCGAGTTCACGTCCTTGATATGTTCCCTGTCATAGCATGAGTTACCCAGATATTCTCCAAAGAGCCTCAATGCTCTCTTCCTTGCATCTGAGATACTGGTCTTCTTAGCTTGCTCCAATGCTGCCCCCAAATCTCTTTGACCGTCCGAGGAGCCAAATCCCACGTCTTCATGACTCGTGCCATCCTTCAACTCGATGCGCACTAAGGAGCTATATGCGATACTCCAACGATCACCTTTCTTTTCCTTCTACAGCATCACATTCATTCTCTAAAATGACCGTCATTTCCAATAACTGAATATAAACCCGTACGTACAAATTCTTCTTTGCACTCGACAATATGACACGACCAGCCATTGAACCCGAATGCGCGGTTGGCCAATTCAATGGCCTTGCAGCTCTCAATGTACGTGAGTTTCCGTCCCCCAGGCCCTGGTCGACGGGCCAGACTGTCCTTGCCCAGTTTCTGGTGTAGAAACGCGTTCACGTTTTGCTTCTCCTGATCTGCAAAAGCAACGCGGCCGAACCGCGTCGAACTGTCACCGTTTAATGATGCCAGTAGCTCCATCGCAACCTTTTGTGCTACTAGCATCACCATCGTCTGCTCCATGTCACTATTTGGCTCGGATTTTACGTCCATCATCTCGCTCAGACGTCGCTTCATGTGTCAAGTTCTTGACTTTTTGATTGCACCTGACGGAGTTAGGTATACCACATCATATACTAATGGACAAAGACGATACACTTGCGACACGTGGCATATCAGAGGACTTTCTACCAATGTCACCTCATGAATACATTTATACGTCATCGTATTGGTTAAAATTCATTTCGCTTGCGATCGGGCAACGCCGCGTGGCCTCATTCTCCCGTTTGCCTTATATCTCCCAGACCTCGACGTTCTCTTATCCCCTTTTATTTCCATGTCGGACGTGAATACGCTTGTGTTTCAGCCTTTGAAAGAGTTCTTTAAGAACAGTCTCCACCTTGTCAAGAAGTGCAACAAACCCGACCGAAAAGGTGCGTCTCTGCAGCCCTTTTGAAACCGTTAATTAGCTAATTGCTGACCATTTTGTGCACTGTTTTTTATCGACTACAGAGTTTGCTCGTATTGCTGGTGCCACATCTGTGGGCTTTCTCATGATGGGATTTATTGGATTCTTTGTGAAGCTCGTGCACATTCCGATTAATAACATTCTCGTGGGTGGCAGTGCTTAGTAAAACCCGCGGCTCAGTTTGCCGTTGATCAAGTTGATTTTTAAGTCTCGCAAGCCGTAGAGACGAGAAGAAGAGGAAAGAGGTGTTTAATATGTTGCACCGTTTCTCCCTTCTGCTCGACTGAAGCGGTCGATAAGTTCAATAGACAGAAGCTTTTTGATATCTATGTACGAGGTCTTTACTATATTCCAACCGCATCTGTGAGAGCGAAGTGACACGATGGAAGTGCAGTAGGAGATGCTATCGAATGATGAGGGAAGATTCCAAGACTTTGCTATGTGAACAGCAAACCTATTGACTTTGATTCTTTGCAACATTGACGACGCTTCGAAGTGCTGATGTCCGTTTCTGTTAGAATGACGGGTACAAGTTTGTTGACTTGAGATGATTGAAACTTGATGTGGTTGCTACTTGTTCTTTCAGATTTCTTTGGGTGCTAGAGACCAGGTGTTCCTAAGTTGGAGCTCGAGAGATGGCTTTTTGCCAACTGCACAGACCACCATTGACGATCCGGCAAGTTGCGGTTGTGGGCCATCACACGTTCTTGGCCAAATGTGGTGGAGTTTCTGGCGCAAAGTAGGTTTCAAAGTACGAAGACGGATACAACACGGAGGCGATTGCAGCACTTGTGCTAGCTGCACCGCAGAAACCTGAGCGACTGGCAGCACTTGTGCTAGCTGCACCGCAGAAACCTGAGCGACTGGCAGCACTTGGAAGTTATATAAATAATATTTATACTGGTATTAACAGTTCGCTGTTATGCCGGGAATTAGAAGATGGCGATGCTGACGTGGATCTGTAGAACCTCATCCGCTTCAACTTGGTGGGGACAGCTACTTCCATAGGCTTAAAAGTCAAATCTGTGCAATGTATGCCGTCACTATGAAGAAGATGTTGTGGGTCCGCAATCCTATTTGTGACAAAAGTGAGTACTTACTTCCTGAACGTCGCCGTCTTATACTTCGCGAGCGAAAAGCTATGAAGCCGATTAGCTTTAATCGATATTTCTCGGTAGAACAAAGAGAGTCGCTTGGCCCTTCTTGGTCTTCTGTACATCCTCTTTAGCTTCCGCTGCTTTTTATGAAACGTTGATTTCTTGCTGCACCGCAAAAACACACTGAAGCGCGGAATGATAGAGCGCTCACGTCTTGACGTGCAGTGCAGGCCTGAGAATGGATCAACAAGACGTAAGAATCACTCCAGAAATGAATGAGGGACCGTGCAAATTGCCACCTATATTTATACAGATGACACTACATTGGAGTTTGATAATAGTCCAGCCGTAAATGACGCTATCATCGTGACGGATCCCAGGAAATGACGACCAAGGCCGAGTATGTCTTCAACACGTGAACACTTCCGTGCTTTTCATCGCCACTGAATTTTGAATTGCAGTCGTGATTTGGTTCAAAATCGAATGTGGTGTAAAAGTTCTCGTGCACGTTTTCTTGGTATCCGGATGTTCATATTCCAACGATTTGGCTCCCAAAACCAATCTGGACGTGCTCGAGATGAAGCAGCCTTGCCACTTTTCAACGTCATCCACCGTCGGAGGCTTAAGCTCCACTGGGATCCCATTTTCCGCACAAATTTCTAGCACGAGGGACCTCACCGTACCCTTTAGAATCCCCTCCTCAGCTGTGACCACTGCCCCGTCTTGAATCGCATAGAAATTCGTCTGCGAACCTTCTAGCAGATGCCGCGTCGCTGGGTCCATCAGAATCACCTCCTCTACATCGGGTGCCATTCTGTCATAAATTGCTTTCCGCTCTTTCACCCACGCCGAGTCTTTGGCTGCGGCATTGCATCGGGGAAGACCGGCTACCTCCAGCTTCACCATCTCCGAGCGTAGTGGTGGAAGGAGTCCCACATGACAGAAAACATCTTTATCAGCCAAAATTTGTCCACTCATTGTGTCTCCATTAGTAGGACACACCAACACATTGATCTTGTACTCTTGGTCTTTGTCCACTTCATAGAGGCTCTTGAACGCCTGCATGGCTGCGTTCATCGTTTCCTCGGTCCTCGGTCTCAACTCCTTCTCCACGGCACTTGGGACCAGTAGCTGCTTCTCCGTCTGCATAGCGATCGTCGACTCCACTACAGCAGAGAGAGAAGCATAATTAGTCACCGTATCAAAATAAACTTCTTAAATTTACCAGAAAACAGACCAAGTCGACAGATATGTGCTTCATAGTCAAAGATTTTTGTCTGTTGTACTGTGCGAGCAGCGGTATAAGCGCCTCGAGGATGTGCCAGTAGGAACGCGGTGGCGTCTGAGTCGCAAGGGATGGCCAGGCCGTTCTTAGCTGCGGCCACTACCAGCTTCTTTTCGACTTGACGAGCTGCCATTGCTAAGAGACGTTTTTGGATACTTTTGCTTTCTCTACCAAACTAAGTACGACAACTTGAACTCGTTTCGCAATGGTCGATCTCGATACTGTCTACTGTCGTATCAGGTACAACAATTTGCCGAGCGTATGTCAATGGGGACAGTGGCAGTACTGTAAGAAAGTAGACGTTATGCACTTTATGCAATAGAGGTAGAAGTCTACAGACCTCCCTCCAATAAATACGCCTCCGATATGTTTTAACTTCGGTAGGTTATCACATTTTGCGTCC